GCATTAAAGAGGTCTTAAAAGTCTTAAATTTAACTTGTAAAAGGTTTTCTGTAGGCTGTAAGTCTTTGTGCTGTTTCCTCTACTCAGCAACAATCTTCTGTTAGAATTTTGATATTTAAATGTGTTTTTTATTTATTTTTTGATGAATTGACCGTCGTTTTGGCCTCATTTAGATAAATAAAGCACATCGTATGAATCATTTTCAAATGAGCTGCTGGAAGTCGGAAAATGTTAGGAAGCATTTTGGGGAGAGCTTCTAAGGATGAATCAGAGTCAATCAGTCAAAATCCGTCACGCAGCACCTCTTTTGTAGCCCCCACGTGTCCAACAAATGTTCCATAAGCTTCAARTCTGGGCCTTTTTAATTCCTCCTTACTCCATTAAAAAGTACACTTTAGTACATAACCGCTCTGGTTTGGTGGCTGTTAATTAGAAAGCGAGGAAACGGACTTGTTTGATTTAGGTAGTGAAGGAGGGGAGCCTTCCTTTCTCTGCCGTAATAAGAAGGTAACGCTGGCAGAGGGCCAGCCCCTTCTTGTGGCACGCAGCGGAACTGCGCTCCAGATTTAACAGGATGACTTTTAACAAGCATGATAATGTTTGAAGTATGAACACCCTGCCTGGTTTGACAGCTGGCTGTTGTAAAAAAAAAAACCTGACAGGAAAAGAGAGTGAAAACCTTAAGATTTGACATATTTGTTGTTGTGGTGCCCCAAATCGTGCATTAAGTGGAAATGGGCTGACCAAGAAAAGCTCCTGCAGATGTGTTCTGGAAAACAGTCATGTTACAGCTATTTTATGAGCGTGCCCAAAGTAAATACGCTCCAAAAGGTCCTCATATTTCACTCCAACCTCACAAATATTGTAGTATGATTCATTTATCCTTTAGTCAAAACATGAGTTAAACTCACATCATAGAAAAACTGATTTTACAGCTGAGGGATGAAGAACTGAAGACACAGAAACCATGGTATTAAAAATAAAAAGGCAGAACAATAGCTAAAAGCTAAAACATGCAGCAAAATTTAAACCAAAAGGAGTGAAATTCTAGTAAAAATTAATAAAACTTCAAATACAATTTAACAAAATGCTAGCTAGACGGTAAAAGTAGCAAGAAAGTAGCTAGAAGCTAAAAATAGCTAAAAGCTTAAACATACAGCTAAAAACTGCAAAACATTAGCTTAAATTTAGCAAAAGATAGCTATAAGGTAAAAGCAGCAAAACAGTTAAATATAAAAATGGCAAGTAGCTAACTAAAAGATAAAATAATTAAAAACTAGATAAAAGTTGCTAAAGACTAGCTGAAAGCAAATAAATGAAGAACATTAGCTAAAAGTAGCTAAATTTTAACTAAAGACAAAATTCTACTAAAAAGGTAACTAAATTTTAACTAAAGGCTAGCTATAAATGTAAAAGTAGAAATAAAGTTACTAGAAGCGAAAAATTGCTTAAAGTTAAAACATGCAAGACTCTAGCTAAAAACAGCGAAACATTAGCTAAAATGTAGCTAAAGATAGCTGTAAGGTAAATGCAGCAAAACAGTTAAAAATAAAAATAGCGAGAAGGTAGCTAGATGCTAAAAGAATCAAAAGGCTAGCTAAAAGTAGCAACAGGCTAGCTAAAACATTAAAGGTGCATAAAGCTAATTAGAAACTTTATGCACCTAAAAATGTAGTCAAAAGCTAAAGGTAACAGATCAAAAGATGCAAATTTTTAGCTAAACATGAATTCTAAAGAATGTTAGCTTGAAACAAAAAGTAGCAAAAGGCTAGATAAAAGAAGTAAAATGCTAGCTAAATGTATTGGACRTTAGATTAAATGTACAGTGGTTTGCAAAAGTATTCATACCCCTTGAACTTTTCCATATTTTGTCACATTACAACCACAAACATAAATATATTTCACTGGAATTTAATGTGAAAGACCAACACAAAGTGGTATACAATTGTGAAGTGGAAGCAAAATTTTACATGAATCAAAACATTTTTTACAAATAAAAAACTGAAAAGTGCGATGTGCAAAATTATTCAGCCCCCCTGAGTCAATACTTTGTGGAGCCACCTTTTGCTGCAATTACAGCTGCAAGTCTTTTAGGGTATGTCTCCACCAGCTTTGCACATCTAGTGACTGCAATTCTTGCCCATTCCTCCTTGCAAAACAGCTCAAGCTCAGTCAGATTGGATGGAGAGCGTTTGTGAACAGCAGTTTTGAGATCTTGCCACAAATTCTCAATTGGGTTTAGGTCTGGACTTTGACTGGGCCATTCTAACACATGAATATTCTTTTTTTTAATCCACTCCATTGTAGCTTTGGCTTTATGTTTAGGGTCGTTGTCCTGCTGGAAGGTGAACCTCCGCCCCAGTCTCAAATCTTTTGCTGACTCCAACAGGTTTTCTTCCAAGATGGCCCTGTATTTGGCTCCATCCATCTTCCCATCAACTTTGACCAACTTCCCGGTCCCTGCTGAAGAGAAGCACCCCCAGAGCATGATGCTGCCACCACCACATTTTACAGTGGGGATGGTGTTTTCAGAGTGATGTGCAGTGTTCTTTCTCCGCCACACATAGGGTTTTGCATTGTGGCCAAAAAGTTCAATTTTGGTCTCGTCTGACCAAAGCACCTTCTTCCACATGTTTGCTGTGTCCTCAACATGGCTTCTGGCAAACTGCAAACGGGACTTCTTATGGTTTTCTTTTAACAATGGCTTTCTCCTTGCCACTCTTCCATAAAGACCACATTTGTGTAGTGCACGACTAATTGTTGTCCTGTGGACAGTTTCCCCCACCTGAGCTGTGGCTCTCTGCATTTCATCCAGAGTCACCATGGGCCTCTTGTCTGCCTCTCTGATCAGTGATCTCCTTGTTCGGCCTGTAAGTTTAGGTGGACGGCCTTGTCTTGGCAGGTTTACTGTGGTGCCATACTCTTTCCATTTCCGGATGATGGATTGAACAGTGCTCCGTGAGATGTTCAAAGCTTGGGAAATCTTTTTATAACCTAAGCCTGCTTTAAACTTCTCCAAAACCATATTCCTAACCTGTCTGGTGTGTTCTTTGGACTTCATGATGCTGTTTGCTCCCCAATATTCTCTTAACCAACATCTGAGGCCGTCACGGAGCAGCTGTATTTGTACTGAGGTTAGATTACACACAGGTGGACCCTTTTGAGTCATTAGCAGTCATCAGGCAACTTCTGAATGCAATTGGTTGCACTCAGGGAAAAGGGGGCTGAATACTTTTGCACGTCGCACTTTTCAGTTTTTTATTTGTAAAAAATGTTTTGATTCATGTAAAATTTTGCTTCCACTTCACAATTGTATACCACTTTGTGTTGGTCTTTCACATTAAATTCCAGTGAAATATATTTATGTTTGTGGTTGTAATGTGACAAAATATGGAAAAGTTCAAGGGGTATGAATACTTTTGCAAACCACTGTAGCATGGCTAGCTAAAATATGAAAGGAGCATAGAGCTAACTAGATGTGGCAAAAAGCTAGTCAAAAGCTAAAGGTAGTGGATCAGAAGCTAAAAGTAGCAATTTTCTTGCTAAACAGGAGAATGTTAGTTGTGACAAAAGTAGCAAAAGGCGAGCTAAGCACGCACATCAGCAGAACTGCACCACAGAGTAAATTGCTAGCTGAACAAAGCAAAAAGTCAACAAGAAGCCAAAAGTAGCTGAATGTTAAATGCTAGAAGAAGCCGAAGAAGATCAATGAGTAAATTTGCTGAAGAAAGTTTCAAAGAGAACAAACCTTTTTAATTTTATGAGGAAAATATTTACAAATTAGGTTAAATATTTAAAAAAGCATAAAAGTTACAAAAAGCAAAAGTCACAGCATCAATCTGCTGAATGAGCCGAACATTTAGACAAAAATATGTACAGAAATCAATAATGCTGAGTCAGCGTTTAACACAAATACATGAGTCGGGTTTGTACACGGGTCCAAGCTGCCCGGGACGTTTTTTTTCTCCACGTTGTGGCTTTTTGAATAAATACCCCACACCAGCGCTGTGACCACTGTGCGGCTCAGGAAACACCCAGAGTTGTCACTGCGGGCCCCAGGCATGAGATGGATTTCAGACATGTTCTCCTAACTGGCTTATCTTGGTCACATTGAAATCCTCCAGGACCACAAAGCTGTGAAAATCCTCCAGCCTAAATAAAACCAGATGTCAGGTTTGTTCCAGAGTTCTTATTCGATACGTTCGAGTGTTTCCACAAAAAAAAAAATCCCTTGGCCACAGCCACCACCGCCCAGCGGGGACAGATGGCGGTGAGGGGAAGTGGTGGACATCATCTCCGGCTACGTGTCATCGCCTCTGTGCGGCAGCTCATCATCACAGCTCCAGGCCCGAGCCCAGCCATGACCAGAACCTGACATTCTCCTCGCTCTGTCAGCGGCTGGCAGAATTAATCTCATTCTGACAAATTCTCTCAATGGTTCCCCTTCAAATTAAGAGCGCAGGCTCCCTCCGAGTGGTATTTATCGACGGGGGGGCTGCGTTTAATTTGAAATGTCGTGTTGACTCGTTGCAGGAGCTGGTGGACTACCTGCGCCGTCATTCTCACAGTGCAGTTTACGCCTCGGCCATGTCCCCCGCCATCACGGAGCAGATCATACGAGCCATGAAGTGCATCACGGGAAAAGACAGCAGCACAGAAGGTATGAGCTTTGTTGAGATTCTCACCTGAGGAATTTGCACACTTTTCACGAGTTTTTTTGCGAAAAGGACTGCGAAACCTAACCAGCGGACAACGCCGAAGTTRACATCGAGAGTTTGGACCTGCAGGAAAATACAAACAGCTGCTTAGTCAGGAAATGTGGAAGTAATTACAGGGGTCTGCAGTGATGAGGAGGGGGGGGGAGATTGTGCAGTCCATGAGCATTTTCATGTAAGTGTTGTGAGGAATGCTTATCCCTGAGAAGTTACTGCTTTAATTACATCAGACACACAGGAAGGAGAGAAGCCGTAACTCTTGTGTAGCTGACTCAGCGTTTGATTGTGTAATAAATTAAAAAGAGGTGAAACGAATAAAGCARAAATCAAAGCGCCCGTCATGTCCACATCGAAGACACTAGTGCAGCTCAGGCAGCGTTTGTCTAGTCGGTTTAATGGAAATTAAAATGTGCTATCATGTGGGAAAGTAAAGTTCTAATCCCATCAAATTCCATTAAACAAACTGTAACGCTGTGATTTTATTTAAAGATAAAACCAGAGAGAGAGAACGAGGAGCAGGTGAGAGTGGGCRGGGCAAGAGCAACACTAGAAGGTATAAACAGGGAAAAACATTMAAGTGCCTGTGACATCAAATTTTTGTGATAAATGTGAATGCACTTTTGGAAAGATAACATGGATAACWTGTARCAAAAACAATTTCACGTCACAGAGATGAACATCTGTTAAGATGTTTGCTTGTGAATTAACAGGAAGTGATGTCAAAKGGTAAAAAAACGTCTGCATGTAAACAGAGCTTTGCTACAACGGCTAACAACACAGACTGTAGGGAATTTTCTGATGTTTCTTTAGATCATTTTAGTCCCTAAAAGAGAAGAAGATGAAGAAGAGTCAGAGTTCAAAAAATATTGTTTTAATAAACAAAGACCGGGGAGTTTTCTTTCTTAAAGAGTTCCCCTTTGATGTCACTTCCTGTTTCACTTTAGAAAAGGAAAATATGACAGTTGTGTGACAAAATGGGTTAAAGTGTGTGTTTTAGGCCAATTTTCCTAAATATGTTCTCTGACTTTTTATATTTGAAGACTAGGCATGTCACGGGCACTTTATATTCTAAAAAAAGAGTAATGAGTTACTTTCACCTGGGTTTAAAGAGACAGCCTCAAAACGAGTTGATCGAGACACACCTCACAACAGAGGGGCTTGTGGAGTTACAATGAGGAGCATTGCAGCTCCACTTTAGACAGATTTAGCAGACACAAAATAGKTTGTTTGTGAGCTGGATGTACAGATACTAAAGTTTGGTGTGGTAGCTAAGAGGCGTTTTCAGAGATTTTGCCTTCATCTCTGTGTGATGCTGAGCTGACTCTGACAGCCACACGCTCTCGCCCACCCRGACGATTCCTGCGTCTCACAGCAGGTTTTTGACCCACATGGCCTCTTGTCTTCGCAGAGAGGAGTAATTTACAAAATGGGCCCTGTGCTTTTTGGCAGATGTCCGAATGTTATGTTGTTTTTACCCCCCTCCTCCCCCC